GTTTGTCACCCAGTTTTATAGCTCTATTTAAAGAGCCCCTTGTTATTTTAAACTCTTCCCCTTCTGCTCGTCTGTTTTCTCCTCCTGTTAGACAGTTTGGACAGGACCTGTTCATGGTCTTCCAATTGCCACTTTTCGTGATTTTCATGGCACAATTCCTGAGGGTACATGGCCATAGCCAACAGAGCTTTTCTGTGTTTATCTGTGAGCTAGGCTCTCATTGCAACAGACCTCTTTCTTTTTCTTCTTTTTAATTTAAAGCTAAAGTTTCACTTCATCAAAAATAAAAATGAACTGTCTCTGCCCAACAACCTTTTCCATCCAACTTAAGTCGTTACAGAAGGCCTCATGAGTTCCCACCCAACTCCTCAGACAGCCTCCAAATTGGAAGTGTCTAGTTTCAAGATGCCCCACACCCTCCTCCTTTCCCACAGCCCCCCTCTTCAGAGCTCCTGGAATTTTCAAATCCATAGCTAGGGCTGTGTTTGCCCGTACAGCATTTTCCTCCCAGAGAGACATGCACACATATCTCAGAGCAGGAATCTAGGCTCAGTTTACAGCCAGGGACCTCCCAGGAAGTAGATTCCTGCTGGTCTCCTTACTGGGTGACATCTTTCCAACACTGTCCCTTTGTTCTCCTGTCTGGGAGCTCCTTTGGTGCATATGGAAATTCTCATCTGGTTACAATTGGTTTTGTTCCACAGGAGAGAGGTGGGTGTTGGACAACTGGGTTGTATTTAGTGGGGTCACTCAGGGCCCAGCCTTACTCTGGTTTACAGGAAAGGTTGACAGACAGATGTTGGGCAGTTGTGGAAGATAGAAACTAGAATCTATAGAGGAGACAAGGATTGCTTCCAAGCTTTTTAAAGTTTTGGCCATAGATGGAGGTGTGCTCAGGTACCATGACTGAGAAAAATTTCACATAAATTAGCAGTCTCTGCATAGCCAGACACAGTTTCCGAGAGAAGAAGTGGAGGTACAGGCTTCATTTGTTTCTATGTCACAACTGCTACTCTAGTGGGCTCAACCCCTAAAGGAGGCTATGAAAATGGTCTATTCATGGGAGCTTGAAACCACCAGCCAATTCTGTCTGGCAGGAGTGCTACCCGCTCAGGAGGCTATCTTGTTTCAGAGTTTCACTACCCAGACTCTGTATTATAAAGCTCCAGAGAAAGGTCTGGACAACTCCCACAGCACAAGGGAAGAAAAAGATTCATTGCAGCCTGTTCTGTTCCTGGGATTACTAACAAGTAAGATAAGCTAGATCTTCATGAAACACTCCCCAGAGATGAAAGGGGGCAGGGTTGCCAAGATAGGAAGTCTCTCCCTGCTATGGAGTCCAAAGGTGACCACTCAACTGGATGGGTGTCTGCACCTGGCTTTCTGCTGTCAGATAACCCAGGTGGGCCCTAGATATAGGCAAGGAAGAGTTTCAATGCATCTCTGGTCATTTGGAGCTACAAACTCGGTTTTCTCTCATTTTTTAACACCTCTCATGTCTCAGACAAAGACTGGTGCTTAATAGATGCTGAATCCATGCTTGTTAAATGTGAACTAGATCTTGATTTGTTTTTTGTTTTGTTTTTTCATTTTTTTGCTGTAGACCATACATTTGTCTTTTAAAAATAACAAGCTCTTGATTCAGATGATAAAACTTACAATGGAGACACCATAAAATCTAGCTTTTTAAGATATACTATTCAGTGGCTTTTAGTATATTCAAAGAATTGTGAAACCATCACCATTACCTAATTTTAGCACATTTTCATCATCCCTTTAGAATAAAAGCTCTGAACCCATTAGCAGTCATTCGCCATTCTCCCCTCCCCCAGGCCTTAGCAACTACTACCTACTTAGTCCTCTGACCATAGATTTCTGGCCACTGCAATCAATAATTTTATGGTTCTCTGTATAAGCACACAAAACAAAAGTTTCCACTAGGGTCATGCTCTGTGTTAACCTGGTTGTTATGGGTTGAGTAACCAAAAAATATATGTTGTAAATCCTAGTCTGTGATTTAAGGAGCCCTGGTGATACAGTGATTAAAGCATGTGGCTACTAACCCAAAGGTCTGTGGTTCATCCTGACTAGCCACTCTGAGGGAAAAGGAAGTAGCAGTGTGCTTTCATCAAGCTTACAGCCTTGGAAACCTTTTGTGGCTTTTCTATGGTCTACATTGTTGTTGTTGTTGCTAAGCTCCATTGAGTTGGTTCGGACTCATAGCAACCCTTGTATAGGGTTTCCAAGGAGTGGCTGGTGGGGGTGAACTGCCAACCTTCTAGTTAGAAGTCCAGTGCTTATCTTACCAGGATCCCTATCTTATTTTGTTGTTGTTGTTGTTGTTGTTGTTGTTGTTATGTGCCGTGGAGTCGGTTCCGACTCGTAGCGTCCCTGTACAGGGTTTCTGAGGCTGTAAATCTTTACGGGAGCAGAAAGCCTCATCTTTCTCCCGCGGAGCGGCTGGTAGTTTTGAACTGCTGACCTT